CGTTTTGATGACTACACGGTCACCTTCATCTTATAACACAACCAGTAGAAGGTTAGAGTGTGACGTTTCAATGACTACACGGTCACCTTCATCTTACAACACAACCAGTAGAAGGTTAGAGTGTGACGTTTTGATGACTACACGGTCACCTTCATCTTACAACACAACCAGTAGAAGGTTAGAGTGTGACGTTTTGATGACTACACGGTCACCTTCATCTTACAACACAACCAGTAGAAGGTTAGAGTGTGACTTTTTGATGACTACACGGTCACCTTCATCTTATAACACAACCAGTAGAAGGTTAGAGTGTGACGTTTTGATGACTACACGGTCACCTTCATCTTATAACACAACCAGTAGAAGATTAGAGTGTGACGTTTTGATGACTACACGGTCACCTTCATCTTACAACACAACCAGTAGAAGGTTAGAGTGTGACGTTTTGATGACTACACGGTCACCTTCATCTTACAACACAACCAGTAGAAGGTTAGAGTGTGACGTTTTGATGACTACACGGTCACCTTCATCTTACAACACAACCAGTAGAAGATTAGAGTGTGACGTTTTGATGACTACACGGTCACCTTCATCTTATAACAAAACCAGTAGAAGATTAGAGTGTGACGTTTTGATGACTACACGGTCACCTTTATCTTCTGTGATGCTGATATCAGCACAATAAAATTGGGATGCATTTTTTGAAGAAACTAGTAAATGGTATTCAAAATCGAAATTTGGTAATTTTGTGAAACACAAACCTTTCTTGCTCCTCTAGAAGTTTCAAAAGAAAAAAAATAATTAAAAAGATAATACATTGGCTGAAACGTTGCTTTCGTGATTTTGACACATGTCTTCGATTGTATATAGGTACTTAAAAACGAAATTGCCCTTAGAAAATATTGATATGATATTGGTATGGTAAATGGAAACATCAGCTTAGCATGTTTTGAGCACTCCTTGACATCGGTAATGGTTTATCAATACTATAGAAATAAAATTTCCCTTAATGATTTCAATGATTCTTAGTCTTTATCATCCGTGTACAATGTTAGCGATATGATCACTAATGCCGACAGACGGCGCCCCGCTGGAAAGATAACTCAATATCCCGGGAATAGATTAGGCTCTATACAAAGACCGGTCGAGTTGTATCGTTTTACAGGTAATAGAAGGTGTTGAATGGAATTGGTTTGTTACCTTAATTAATCAATGAAATCTGAGTATTCCTTTTTTGTTGTTAGAGATGACAAGCCATTAGTTTATAGACTTTTTTCTCGTATTGGTTATTGACCTGTCATCTAATGAAGGTTACTCTCAGATAGCATTTAGTGTGTATTGTAAATGCTCGGTACCGCGCTGTCACCGCGACAGAGGGCTTTTAGACCGCTCTAATTTGTGGTAGAGAAGATATTTGTTGTGAAATCGGGATTTTTTTATTGTTTCAAATAGAATAATCATGTTATCAAAAATCAGGCTTTGTCTATCAAAAATCAACAAGAAAATACCAACATGTCAACATGATCATAACCCAGACTTAAATTCACTAAAACTAGGACAAAATATGAACAAAAGAAAAAATACACGGAGATATCACAAAAAGTGCTTGGTGAATAAGTTCAACTTACTTTTTAAAAGACACGTGGAACAGCATATTGTTGTCCAAAATATTTAATAAAATACATCATTATTTCTCGAAATCCCTTTGGTTAGACTCTATACACATGATCCAAACCTCTGCTTAACCAGTTTTTTCATAAACAAGTGAATTCTTTTGTAGAAAAGGTTTCAATGGAAACCGTTTATTATCAATTACTGGTTATCACGTAACCTTAATGAGACAATACCATTTATTTACTCGAGACCCAAATACTAATTCAACCGTGACATCTTGGAAATAAAAAAAGAATAATCAAATATTTCATTTCTTCACACGGGGAAACTTTCGCCGCCAGTGAATCTCCGTTCTTTTCTCCCTTATGTTCAGGTATTCGTTGTGTAAACAGCACGCCGTATAATACAACATTATGCAACAAACATGCAGATAAACATGAACGAAAAAATAAACAAATAAACAAATAAACAAATAAACAAAAAGCATTATTATTAAGGATTTTACCCGAATCAGTTCAACCGTGTCCTCCAGTTAATTATTGCTATCTTTCCAATTCCAATATGACCTGTTGTTGCTACTCGCAATCTGTCACACAAACGATTTTCATTATAACGCAAAAGTTTTCCTTTATGAGAATTTGTCCCGTTTGTAAATGATGTACCTGAAGAGGTCAAACTGGGCGTGGTCATTGTAGTGTTGTAATTAAGTATAGATATGTATTTACAGAAACAGCTGTGTGTAATTTACGCAACTCTAGACAGTAGCCAAAGATAGAAAAAAAACACCTAAAATTGTCTAACACAATACCCGGAGTTGTCCAAACAAGTCTACACACAATCGAGTTTTAAGTGTGATCTTATTGTACCGGTATAGGTGCATAATTTGATCACCTGCCGGTGAGAATATAGAAAAGTTCAAGTATCTATGAAAATTTAGTAATCAACCCCTCCCCCTCTCCCTCCCCTTAAAAAACAATAATAAGGTTTGTGTGGGAAAAAGTTCAAACAATTACAAAAACATATTCGAAATACATTAATGCTATTTATGGTGTGATGTGTTATTGATTTTTGATGTTGCTTTGATAAACGATCATTGTAACTTTTCCTTGAATATTCATAGTCGCCGTGATCAAACATGTTTGGAATGTAACATAAATTAGGTTTCAGCCAGCTGGAGAGATTTTGGCTTCGGTGCTTTACTTTAAAAAATGTCATTGTAAAACAGACAACATGAAGCTTTTCATGTTTGTGAAAAAACAATCTATATTTTTCATCCATGTTTACATATTGATTTACACGGTGTTGAACACATTGTTTACACGGGAAGGTTGAACACATTGTTTACACGTGAAGATTGAACACATTGTTAACACGGGAAGGTTGAACACATTGTTTACACGTGAAGATTGAACACATTGTTTACACGGGAATGTTGAACACATTGTCTACACGGTAAGGTTGAACACATTGTTTACACGTGAAGATTGAACACATTGTTTACACGGGAATGTTGAACACATTGTCTACACGGGAATGTTGAACACATTGTTTACACGGGAAGGTTGAACAAATTGTTTACACGGGAAGGTTGAACACATTGTTTACACGGAAAGGTTGAACACATTGTTTACACGGAAAGGTTGAACACATTGTTTACACGTTAAGATTGAACACATTGTTTACACGGGAAGGTTGAACACATCGTTTACACAGGAATGTTGAACACTTTGTTAACACAGGAAGGTTGAACACATTCTTTACGAATAAAAAACGTACTCCTTCCCCACTCCCGCCAGTAAACATTAACGCATACATACAGTAACGAAATCATGTTTCACTGTCGTCTTTATGGGAAAAATATTTCAAGACTTGTAACCTGCTCTTCACAAAAGAAAATAACTAAATCAAGTTTTATCTCTCTAATATTTTCATTGCTTGGTTCGTCTGCAAAATTTATCTTTAGATAAACAGTTTTGTTATAGTCTGAGATTTCTGCACAGATAGATAGTTTTCCATCATTTAAACAAATAGTCGAGAGAGAAATTATTTACAACAAGCCAGACGTAACCAGCGAGTTAATCTCACGATTAAGCTGACAACATTGAGTAAACAATTTAACGTATTTATTGCGATATTGTTAAAAGTTATGTTTTTGAGATCGTTATACGCTCGGGGGAGGCCCAGATGGCTAAACAACTTGCGGGTATTCGGATACAAACTTCTACCCGTGGTTGCCTGTAACAACTTCACATCTTCAACTTGATTGAGTTTGCTTAATATTTCTTAAGAGACATTCCATAAATTTCTCTTTTAAGGTGGTGAATTTTGACTGAAAAAATATTAGGTGTTTTATTCTGAAGCATTTACCAAAGATATATTATTTTCATATGAATATGTGTCGATGTCGTTATTAGAGAAGAGTTTGAGTAAGATTATTAGTTATATGTGAAGTTGATCAGGCTTTGGCAAAATGCGTTGTGGTGGAAAGTCTCCCGCGATGATTGTGATTTCAATAATGTCGAAACAAATATTCTTTGTAAACAAACCCTTTAGAAACCATTCGATTTAATTGTCATTTGATTTTGATTGTGGCAATTCACTTCGGGCGATTAATCAATTCTTTGTTGGATAGAAATATATTGCTTTAGATGAGAAAATAAGCACTTTGCCCATTTTGCTTGTTTGTTCTACACTGGAAAATTTTGACGTCACTTCCTGATCAATACCTAAATGGCGGAACGCATTCGGAATTCTACGTTTAATTGTTTTGACAAATATTTAACTCAATACAACTACAAATGATATTGTTAAATATCAGCTGGGGATGGGGAGAGGGTTGTTATGGTAGTCTAACGTCTATCACGTTAGAGATGTAAAGCAAGGGCATTAACTCTGACAGTTAAATAAGAGGTTAACTTGATTGCTCCTTTTCAAACATGCTAGCAGGTTTGATCTTTGCAGTCCGTGTCGAAATTAGAATTAAAAAAAAAAAATTAAAAAGAAAGAAAGAAAAACTAATTGATATTCAAGACACGCAATACTACATCTGTATATGCTAGAACACGTTTGGCTTTATACTGTAAAATGGTATATTTTCGTGGGACTTTAATTTCGTGGTTTATTAAGAAAATATACATTTTCACTGGCATTTTTGTGGATAAAGCCCAGTCACAATATTCACTTGTACAATAATCCATGTCAACTCTTATCTGTTTATCATTTCATTAACATACATATTACTGTTTAGAGTGTCCACGAAAGCTATGCTAATTGATCTCCCACGAAAATGAATGAGTTTACAGTAGGTTTGCCACATTTCAAGGATCACAAACAAAACGAAAGTTAAGGAGGTTTTGTATCATTGTTGTTTACTCGTGTTTTAGGTACACTTCTGGAAAAGTCTCCTGGAATGGAGACGGATCACACAGAGGAGCGGGAAACTTGGGGCAAAAAGGCGGATTTCCTTCTGTCTGTGATTGGTTTTGCTGTAGATTTAGCCAATGTGTGGAGATTTCCTTATCTATGTTACAAAAATGGTGGCGGTAAGAACGACACTTTCCGGCTATCTAAATATATAACAAAATTTACATATTGTGTGAATGTCCTTTATATTCAATATTTACAAAATGTTGGAAGGTTTTGGTACTATCAAAGTGAGTGTACTACAGAAAAACACTTTAAAGCCTTGAATATCTCAATTGTTTTTTTTCCCTGTAGTACGTCTACAATTTCATCGATGGTTTCGGTTTTGAGTATTTGGATTTGTAAATGGCCAGATCGTTCTGTTTGTAACACATCTCAAGGATATATTTTATACTTTTGCAGGGGCCTTTTTGATTCCGTACGGTTTAATGTTGCTAATGGGAGGTATACCGTTGTTTTATATGGAACTGGCTCTCGGTCAATACAACAAGTCCGGTGCCATTACCTGTTGGGGAAGACTGTGTCCTCTGTTTAAAGGTAAGCACGCTTCGTTAACTGTGTCAACTTTATAGATGAAAGTTATCTAGTATTTCTTTATGCAGATAAGGGTAACACTTGGTGTGGCAGAGTGGATTCTTTGTTCGACAACAAAGAGATGATAAATGTTATGTTCTTTGATACCAAGGATTCTCAGTTACTGGATTCACCAAGATTTTCAAGTGTCAATTTTCATGATGAAAAAGATAAATGTTCTGACACAGAATGCCGAAATACTAATAAAACAATGAAAATTCTCGTGCAAAAAGATTTAGAATACAGAATAACAGAGACAGACTTTATTGTTACAGTTGTGGAATCGCACAACGTTACACGATGTGCGCACGATGTGAGCACGATAGGAAATTTATGCGCACGCTATGCGGTTCTACCTTACAAATGTACGATACTATAATTTAAAAATAAATGTGGAATAAGGTTTATTTATTGTCTAAATACATAATAATACAACTAAGTAGTTTTCCTAATTAAGCCATTAATATATAGGTTTAACACTTGTAGATATGTCAGATTCACGCTTAATAGTTAGATACACTCGTAATTTTAAGTGCTTGTTTACATGTGCAATAATAATACTAAAACATCAGAAAATACGTTTCATTGTCGGACACCATTTTAAGCGTTAAAAGTTAGAATTGGGAAGGAGTATTACGCAACTTAGATAGCTTGCACACGTGTTAGGTGAAAACGATAACTTTATTTTCCGCGTATATTAAATGCGTTCCGTGGAACTTATCGTTCAAATATGAATCTATTTTCACAGGAATCGGATGGGCTGTAGTGTTGATAGCTTTTTACACAGACTTCTTCTATAACGTCATCATTGCCTGGGCTCTTCATTATCTGATTAAGTCATTCACGAGTGAGCTCCCTTGGGCGTCATGTGGAAACGAATGGAATACAGAATTCTGTTATGACGGTAAAAATAGAACGAAGGCCAGTAACTCTAGTTTAAATATGACGGACGATGAACCTATCTCCTCTCCGCCAACGATTGCCGTTGGAGTGTCCACAGTCGGATCGTTGTTGAACGAAAGTATGATCAACATTACGAAAGTTCCTAGATATTCACCAGCTGAGGAATATTTCGTGTGAGTATACAAATTTAATTGCTTATCCCCCTTTCTTTTTCCTTTTCTTGATCGTGATAATAAATAAGCACACTGCAAAGTATTATGGTTATTTTTTTTTCGCACAACACTGCATGCAACACACTAAAAACTAACGAAAAACTGCAGAAATACCAATATAATCATAATCCAAAGTCAAATTCAATAGAATTTGGGCAAGACATGAACAAAAGAATGATTGACACGAAGACTTGTGGAAAAAAGGTACAAGGAGAATAAGACCAGGCGTTCTGAAAGAGCAAACGTCCTCTTCTTCATCGACAAAACCCGCCATGTTAATCCAAGTAAATAATGTCACGTTCTGAAATGAGAACAAAGTATACAACAACGGAACCAATAGGTAAACTAACGAGTTTCAATCACAACCAGTTTCACATTTCACAACGGAATAGAATATTTCTCAAAGAGGTTGTAGCTCTAGTGTGTTATTTGTATTTTTTTCATATGTTTTTCCAGCAATAATTCATATCATCATAATTGTTTATCAATAGTGAATATAAATGGAAACAACAAAAACAGTCACTACCACAATAAAAAAAACCCATCAAAAACAAACTAAAAACACACAACCGAAAGAAAGAAAGAAAGAAACAAAAAAAACCCCAAACAAACAACAAACAAACAAACAATAATGAATATGATGACATAGTTCTGATCTGGTTTTAATATTATTTTTGGTATGATTGTTTTATTCCAGTCGAAGTTTCCTTGGACTTCACCGAAGTAACGGTATATTTGAGGCCGGGGCTATACAGTGGCAGATAGTTCTTTGTCTGCTTGGTGTGTACGTAATATGCTACTTTAGTTTATGGAAAGGAATCTCCACCTCGGGGAAGGTCAGTACGAACGATTTATCTGTGTCTCTCTGTCTTTGTATCATAACATCTTCTTGTTTGCCTGTTCGTAACAGGTGTAACGTATTCGCCTTTCACCTAGTGGCCCTGGGTTCGATTTCCGAAATGAACGTGAAAAGGTCAGGGGTCAATAGCCCGACCACGTGGGGGTTTTTTTGGGTGGTACTCCAGTTTCATTCTACAGATAGCCCAACCTCGTGTTTCCATGCGGGCAATCAACAATTAACGATAAAGAAGTATGATTAATATCAGCTGATAGATAATTTATATATTATGCTCGGAGAGCATATAGTGTCCGCTTTGTCCGTCCGTTCGTCCGTCATAATTTTGTTCAGAGCATATCACAAAAACTATACGAGGTATCAACATAAAACTGCATAGGTATATAGATCTCGATAAGGAGAAGTGCAGTATACAAGAACCATAACTCTGTTTTACATAATTTAGGAGTTATTAAAACTTGGTGTATACATTGGTTACACTAAGAGAATGTGCAGTATACCAAAGTCAGGGCCTACAACTTCTTAATTACATAATTATTGCCCTTTAATAAAATTAATAAAATACAGTCGATTTAGAGGATTATTCATCAGTTTCACTTTTCCTGTTCGTACGGTAAATATAGACATAAGTCTCTGTTGTGATTTGTCTTCTGTTGTCGCTGAGCGATTTTAAATATATTTACAATTTAACGATGTCTTTTGAAGTAGTATCACAAAGAGTAATAAAATGTAATCATGCGAAAAAAAAAAATAAAAAGAGACCGTAAGAGTCCAACTCAAAGACAAAAATAGTGATATTATATTTTCAAGTTTACTATGATCACAATCGACTCTGAATTTCAGGTGGTGTGGTTCACTGCCCTCTTTCCATACGTTGTTCTTTTCATCTTGATGATTCGTGGGGCCACCCTCCCAGGAGCGGGAAAAGGTATAGAGTACTACCTCACTCCAGACTTTGCCAGACTCGCCAATTCAGAGGTGAGTGGTGTCTTGTAGAACGGTGTCGTTTGGAGTGGTGTGGTGTGGAGTGGTGTCGTGCCAAGTGATGTCGTGTGGAATGGTGTCGTGCGAAATGATGTCGTGTGAAGTGGTGTCGTGTGGAGAGATGTCGTGTGGAGTGGTGTCGTGTGGAGTGGTGTCGTGTGATGTGTAGAGTGGTGTCGTGTGGAGTGGTGTCGTGTGGAGTGGTGTCGTGTGGAGAGATGTCGTGTGTTGTATAGAGTGGTGTCGTGTGGAGAGATGTCGTGTGTTGTATAGAGTGGTGTTGTGTGGAGAGATGTCGTGTGGAGTGGTGTCGTGTGGAGAGATGTCGTGTACAGTGGTGTCGTGTGGAGAGATGTCATGTGGTGTGATGTGTAGAGTGGTGTCGCGTGGAGAGATGTCATGTGGAGTGGTGTCGTGTAGAGTGGTGTGATGTGTACAGTGGTGTCGTGTAGAGTGGTGTGGTGTGGTGTGGAGTGGTGTGATGTGTAGAGAGGTGTCATGTGGAGTGGTGTCGTGTGGAGAGATGTCGTGTGGATTGGTGTCGTGTGGAGTGGTGTCATATGGAATGGTGTCGTGCCAAGTGAAGTCGTGTGGAATGGTGTCGTGCGAAATGATGTCGTGTGAAGTGGTGTCGTGTGGAGAGATGTCGTGTGGAGTGGTGTCGTGTGGAGTGGTGTCGTGTGATGTGTAGAGTGGTGTCGTGTGGAGTGGTGTCGTGTGGAGTGGTGTCGTGTGGAGAGATGTCGTGTGTTGTATAGAGTGGTGTCGTGTGGAGAGATGTCGTGTGTTGTATAGAGTGGTGTTGTGTGGAGAGATGTCGTGTGGAGTGGTGTCGTGTGGAGAGATGTCGTGTACAGTGGTGTCGTGTGGAGAGATGTCATGTGGTGTGATGTGTAGAGTGGTGTCGTGTGGAGAGATGTCATGTGGAGTGGTGTCGTGTAGAGTGGTGTGATGTGTAGAGTGGTGTGGTGTAGAGATGGTGTGGTGTCGTGTGGAGTGGTGTCGTGTGGAGTGGTGTCGTGTGGAGAGAGAGATGTCGTGTAGAGTGGTGTGTGATGTGGAGTGGTGTCGTGTGGAGAGATGATGTGTGTAGAGAGGTGTCATGTGGAGTGGTGTCGTGTGGAGAGATGTCGTGTGGTTTGGTGTCGTGTGGAGTGGTGTCGTGTGGAGTGGTGTCGTGTGGAGTGGTGTCGTGTGGAGAGATGTCGTGTAGAGTGGTGTCGTGTGAAGTGGTGTTGTGTGTTGTGTGTGGAGTGGTGTGTTGTATGGAGTGGTGTCGTGTGGAGTGGTGTCGTGTGGAGAGATGTCGTGTAGAGTGGTGTCGTGTGAAGTGGTGTTGTGTGGAGTGGTGTCGTGTGGAGAGATGTCGTATGGAGAGATGTGTGGAGTGGTGTCGTGTGGAGTGGTGTCGTGTGGAGAGATGTCGTGTGGAGTGATGTCGTGTGCAGTGGTGTCGTGTGCAGTGGTGTCGTGTGATGTGTAGAGTGGTGTCGTGTGGAGAGATGCCATGTGGTGTGATGTGTAGAGTGGTGTCGTGTGGAGTGGTGTCGTGTGATGTGTAGAGTGGTGTCGTGTGGAGAGATGTCGTGTGTTGTATAGAGTGGTGTCGTGTGGAGAGATGTCGTGTGTTGTATAGAGTGGTGTCGTGTGGAGAGATGTCGTGTTGTATAGAGTGGTGTCGTGTGGAGAAATGTCGTGTGGAGTGGTGTCGTGTGGAGAGATGTCATGTGGTGTGATGTGTAGAGTGGTGTCGTGTGGAGAGATATCATGTGGAGTGGTGTCGTGTAGAGTGGTGTGATGTGTACAGTGGTGTGGTGTAGAATGGTGTGGTGTGGAATGGTGTGATGTGTAGAGTGGTGTCGTGTGGAGAGATATCATGTGGAGTGGTGTCGTGTAGAGTGGTGTGATGTGTACAGTGGTGTGGTGTAGAGTGGTGTGGTGTGGAATGGTGTGATGTGTAGAGTGGTGTCGTGTGGAGTGGTGTCGTGTGGAGAGATGTCGTGTGGAGTGGTGTCGTGTGGAGAAATGTCGTGTGGAGAGATGTCGTGTAGAGTGGTGTCGTGTGGACAGATGTCGTGTAGAGTGGTGTCGTGTGGAGAGATATCGTGTGGAGTGGTGTCGTGTGGAGAAATGTCGTGTGGAGAGATGTCGTGTAGAGTGGTGTCGTGTGGACAGATGTCGTGTAGAGTGGTGTCGTGTGGAGAGATGTCGTGTGGAGTGGTGTGGTGTGATGTGTAGAGTGATGTCGTGTAGAGAGATGTCGTGTGGAGTGGTGTGGTGTGATGTGTAGAGTGATGTCGTGTAGAGTGGTGTCATGTGGAATGGTGTGGTGTGATATGTAGAGTGATGTCGTGTTGAGTGGTGACGTGTGGAGTGGTGTCGTGTGGAGAGATGTCGTGTGGAGTGATGTGTGGAGAGATGACGTGTTAAGTGGTGTCGTGTGGAGAGATGTCGTGTGGAGAGATGTCGTGTAGAGCGGTGTCGTGTTGAGTGGTGTCGTGTGCAGTGGTGTCGTATGCAGTGGTGTCCTGTTGAATCAAAATTCAATGGTAGCAACACAGAATGGATCATGGTTTAGCTTATAGTTTCCTGGATAGTATTGGAGGAATTAGGAATCTCTGGACGACAATGCATTTTATTACCCTGCAGAATCGAGGGTATTTGTTTTTGGTGCAGTTTAAACAAAGGACAATCTGGAAATATCGTAACATTCTACTGTGAGATATGGTATATCATTTGTAGCACGTAATGTAGAACAACCTACACATATAAGTATTTCTTATTGTTTATGACTCTTTCAAAAGATCAAAATACGACTGTTTACTCCATTGTACCACTAGAATATTGTTCTTTCTTTTGACATTTTCTCTTTATTTCTACCGTTTGTGGTAACATCAATAATTACCTCATCAGAATATTTCAGTATGATAACACTGTAATTTGTATTTGATTGTTTGTTACCGCTACTTGAGGCTGTTTTGATTTCTCAAGGTTTGGGTCGATGCAGCAACACAGGTGTTTTTCTCTCTCGGACCAGGATTTGGTGTACTGCTTGCGTTTGCTAGCTACAACAAGTTAAATAACAACGTTTACAGGTAGGATATTTTTTGTTTCAAAGTGATATTCAAAAACAAAACATTTTGATACATTGTACCGAATTCTAAATTGGTAATGACAAACTACAAAGAATATAACAACAGAAGCCTAATTCAAACTCAAATTCGCTGAAACTAACAAATATTGGGAAAAAAACTAACATGGAGACTTTTGAAAATATGCAAGGAAAACAAGACCAGGTGTTATTTTTTGTATATTTGAAGACCATACGTTATTCCATTGCAAGGAAAATCTTCTGCCATATAAGAATAATGATCGAAATTTGATCGTGATTGTTTCCGTGTAAAAGCAGCTGTCTGACTATTCAACCTTTTCTCAAACAATTAATTCTGAATAACAACATAAGATTCCTGAAATATCTAGTCTCACTTTTCTGACGATTGTCCAAGGAGCAGAAACAACTATTTAAAGCCAAAACTACGGAAGCTAGCGACATCAGTATGGAACACAAACTGTTGATATCGACACATCGTACTTTCTTGCAGTGTAGGATATTTCATATAGAATAATACTGCAAACTTAAAATATTAACAACTTTGCCTTTAAAAGATTGAAGAAAAAAATATATTTTCGCGATATTCTTGATACGGATTTTCGTTGTCTTTATCTGTCTTATTTTGGAAAAAAAATGTTTTGCTAAAAAAATGAAATATTGAAATAACCATATTAACAGTATTTTAAGAAGTTCCTCTGTCTTTCAAGTCCAGAAGCTGGACAAATAAAGCAATGGCTCTTTACAGAGCTATACAGAACATCCACATACTTATACCAAGTATTTAAACATTGCAGATAGAAATATACCTACTAAACGCTAAACAGTGAATAATGTGTCTAAAAGTCATTCTAAAATCACTCGATTATTTGAACCACTATCATTACTGTATCGTGGCCATTACGTCTTGCTTAACTATCCGTAAAATAGACTTGGCCCAGCCTTAACAGTGTCCTAAAACACTAAATCGACATTGCTGTAGTACACAAGTGCTTGTCGATAGATACTAAAACAGAATTAACACATATTTCTTTCGCCTCAAACCTACCGAGTCTAAAATGTCGACTAGATACAACCGGAAACGCTCCCGGAGTATGCTAACAAGATTTACAAATGAATCCTTTTACTCCTAGTTCCGGTTCGTTAAACAAAGCGCCGTTTTAACCATGATCCACAAAATCCTCTGAACGTTTTATTCCCATCATATTATTGCTTCGCGGCATTTAAGTCTATAACGCTGACTGAGAATTCGTTAATCCAAACGGTCACGACTATCTTAGATAGGAAAATCACATCATGGTTACAGGGAAACATTGCTTCCGTTTTTTTAAGCAATTAAATTTTTGTTAGAGAGGAAAACTGTAAGATTAACATTGAACATCACCTTACACTTTAGACTGCGGACGGCATGCAATTTGCTGATTTGGTAAAACATCTATTTTATGTCGTGTACATGTAAACATGCTTAGAATTTCATCGTAATTTTTCATGTTTTAAGGAATCCTGTATATATTTTTTTCGTTGATGTGTAATTCAACCTGTGATATGTAGCTTATCTGCTACAGTGATTGGCGTTAGATATAATCGAGTTGACTTTATGAATATAATACTTCGTTATCAAGAAATTCAAAGTAAAGAATGTTTCAACAGTGTTAAGCTGTTGGTTTTCATTTTTTTTTCATTTACATGAAAACCAAAAATCATATGCAAAATCAAACATCGAAAATATGCCTTATATATTAATCTTAATAGTGTTGTTTTGAAACACAAAATGGGGTTATCTGTAAAACTCATTTGAGAATGACATTCGCATTTTTATTTCAGAGACGCCTTGGTCACGAGCGCCGTAAACTGTTTGACCAGCTTCTTCTCGGGGTTTGTTATCTTCATGATACTTGGGTATATGGCACAACGGACCAATCAGAATATCGAGGACGTGGCAACGGACGGTTAGTGACGTCATCCTGCTAACAATGACGTAATCGTTAAATTATCATATCCTGATATCATTTGTACTTTCTCATTCGCTTAAGACTGATTTGTCAAAATGTATTTGTCTGTTACGGTTTCCGTGCCTTTTACTGACATACCAAATTGGTAAAATCTCGGTATCTCAAACTCGTATAACCCAAAGAACCTCTTTTTATTCGAATCATTTCTGCGGTCATACTAAACACCAAACATTAGAAGCCGTTTAATCGAATATCCGCATAGATCGAAGCTTTCCCACGGTACCACCGACTTCGAACTAACGACATTCGACTGTATAACGAATTATTAAGACTGTGGCTGCTTTGAAAGCCAGCACACGAAATATTTTTTATGTGACCCTTAAAAAAATAACTGTATATGTTTAACAGATGTCAGGCCATATATATTTGGTATTCGACATAATAATTCTACTTATTGTAAAACGTCATGTAGCTCACGATTTAAAATAAAACTTGGAAAATCGATATTGTAAAAGCCTGATCCAAAGTTTACCGAAACAAATGAGGTTTGATATTTTGTTTTTCTTCAAATGTCGATCAATGAGTTTTTTTATTTTTTGCGCAATTCCAATGTTCAAGGCAATACACTGTATTTCTATATAGTACGAAATTTTGGTAGAAAATTCAGTCGTGTGAAGTAAAAAAACAAACCAGAAAATTAAAGTTTTGAGACGAGTATGTGCAGTGTATGCATAATGTCACAATTTAAGCTTGATAACTTTCAGTGTGTTTAAACTGTGTCTCTCTTTGTTTTTGTTTTGAATCTACAGGCCCTGGCCTCGTTTTCGTAGTTTACCCAGAAGCCATTGCGACATTACCAGGAGCACCATTTTGGGCAATAATATTTTTCCTGATGTTGTTGACTCTTGGTTTGGACAGCTCGGTACGCTATGTTTTCAGTTCTGACATACATGAATACCAAGAGAATAAGTAATTCGTAACCTTTATCAAAATACATTCTTCAGACCTCAATTCTTCAAAAATCTTACATTGGGTTTTAAATAACTTTTATGATAAGATAAGTTTAAATATGATTCATAATTGTAATGTATTCATTATTTGTTTGTTTGTTTGTACTAAGGAGTTTGAGTGTTAGCTAGATTAATTTCGTTCTAAAAGTTCTGTACCACAAACATGGTTACTATAATTCAACTGGAGTTTGTTGGCCACATTCATACTCGTGTTTGTCTTTTTTACAGTTCGGCGGATCTGAGGCAATACTCACAGCTCTATCAGACGAATTTCCAATCCTGCGCAGACACAGAGAACTTTTTGTCGGGGCACTATTTTCCGTCTATTTCATAGTTGGTTTATCGTTCTGTACAGAGGTGTGTATTTCATGCAAAGGTGTTGTCAAAAGTAAACATGTTTGAAAACTGAAATTTAAATATATTTAGATGCAGTATTTACTTGTATTTATTTCAATTATTCGAAAAAAGGACACATAATTAGACAATCCATAAAAAAACCTTTTAATTATGACGTCACAATGGTGTAATGTAAATCTGTTTTATCGATATCATGACACCGTGTTATCAATATGATCATGGATTTTGAATTAAAATGATTGAAATCATCCCGCTTTCTACAACAAAACAATAACCTTACAAATCACACATCTTGGCTGACGTCGTTGCACAAGATCAAAATAACCTAAATTTAGACACATCGCCTGATACGACCGATTTGTAAATACAAGTAAAATTTTTTGATGATATTGCCGAATATCTTGCAGCGGTGATTATATATTTTCATTAGAATGTAACATAAACACAGTTGCATCACATTTAGCAAATCCCGAAACTACATGATGCTTTACTCTTTACTTCAGGGCGGAGCTCTTGTGGTACAACTGATGGACAAATTCGCTGCGGGATACTCCATATTGTGGGCAGTGTTTTTTGAGACTCTAGTTGTTTCTTGGGCGTACGGTAAATATCGTTGTCAGATTTCAACCTTTATCTTTAGATATGTTTTAACGGTAAGATGGAAGTGTCCTTTCAGAATGCGCATGTTACAAAGACTTTACAACTATCTTTTACTTTCAGACAAAAAAACAAAATCAGACAACGTACATCACGAAAGATTTTGCAAGTAATGTTACAAAAGATATAATACCATTATGAAATTGTGGAACTTGATAAACCCCCTCTTCTCGAGTCATTTTAATAATGTATTGTGGTATTTTTCCCTGATCTATATTATATCTCGGTAATGACAGTCGGACACTAAACGATTTTTTAAAATTGTTTATATTTCGTTTTCCCTGCTGGTGTTCTTAAATATAAAGAACATAAATTGCATTTTTCATTCATGATTTATTCAAACAAGGATCTATAAATAGTAAGTAAAACACTGTCATCAGGAAATCCGTTTGGAATTCGCGGTTGCCATTTAAAAAGTTTTCTGACTTTTTTGTTTTGTGACGTTGTAGATTTTAATTATGGTGAACATAGATATTAACATAAACCAGACTTACAGGACCTTAATCGATTTCTGTAGGTGTCGATCGATTCTCTGAAGACATTCGATTGATGGTCGGGTTTCCCCCGGGTCACTACTGGAGAATCTGCTGGAAGTACGTCGCTCCAGTGTTTTTACTGGTAAGTATGTCACCCCAGTATCACCGATCAGCTTTCCAGTAGTGTTTTGTCTTTGTATTTTATATAAATTAGTATGTAGTTACAACCAAACGTGAACAATAGTTAAACTGCCTTGAAAAAAAAATCAAAATTCCTTTTTACAACAAAATTTAACAAAAAAAAGTAAGCATTTTCATTTGCGAACATTTATTTTGGGCTCAATAATTTCCGAATGAACATTGTTTTTAACAAAGAAGGGGATTCTGCGATGTAATTAACTGAAAGTGTCATAATTTCTCGTTCAAACACGTTCACACAAAGAGAATGAAACTTTAAATCAATGTTTTCAGAACAAAGTGGTGTATGAAAATGTCTTGTATCATTGCCTCATGAATTAAATTCCTTAATCTAATTTTGGGGAAAATGTCAACTTTATTTAATTATGGAGCCAGGGCGCTTCCCGTCTAGATTTTGACTATATTTTCGACCAACTTGGTCTTTTCCTCATTCGCATCCTAGGTTTCAACACTTTAGGCCCTTAGCATTACTGAGAGTCCTAGAAGGGCGAAACAACTGTATGATGTAGTTTAACGTATTTCTCGGCGAAACTGTATTCAATTATTATTTTATTTGCGTGCCTTTCGTCCAATCGACATTTCGATATATTTCAGTTCATCATGATATTTGGCCTAGTGATGTACCAGCCCCTGACCTATGAAGACTACACCTATCCGTGGCCGGCTAACATGATCGGGTGGTGCGTTGCTCTATCCTCAATCTTATGTATACCAGGGTATGCAATCTATGGAATAGTAACAACTCCTGGTACCATTGCAGAGGTATGTTTACAATACTAGACAGCTGGTAGTTTTCACCGCTCAAAATGTTCGCTCTAATGAAACGAGCGAATTATATTTTAACGAAGGAAAATTTTGCGATCTGGATTTAAATGAACATTTAGTACACACGTATCTCAATAAATTTTCGCGGTCACGTTACCGTGACATAGCGAACATATCTTTTTCGCGGAAACAACCTGTTATATGATGTGAATAGGGAGTAACTATCTATGTACTTTTTGTGGTATGCAAAACATACCAGTACTTATTTGACATACTTAAAATGTATTTTCAAAAAGACTGACGTATTTTATTACAAACGAGCAAACATTTTGAAATTTGATTTATTCACAGCTATCAGACAAATTATACATATATTTCTTCTAAATTTTGGGTAACTATCATTGAAACATTTTGAGTTGTGACTGTACATAGCTGTTGTCACATTCATTGTATATATTATTGTGGAGAGGGCTCTTATAAGTTGTGATAACTTGTGCCCAATCCATTTGCTTTCGGCAATAAAATATGTTTAAACTAAAACATTTTACGCACACCGTTTATACTCGCTGACGTCATCACGACCCATTGACGTCATCACGACCCATTGGCGTCATCACGACACAATGACATCATCATGACTCACTGACGTCATCACAATTTAACTTGAGCCAAAGGTAGGTTCAGGTCTGTTGAGCAAAACGCATGTATATAATTTGGATGACTACGGTTGGAAATATTACAAGCTGTTGAAACATTATATACTTACATGAAACCATAATTCAACTTTAAGTACGTTTGAAGTTAAACCGTAAACTGTAGATAAAGTAATTCAAAAATGCATTTTTTTTTTCATTTCAGAGAATACAAATTTTGGTTACGCCTAAAAATGACAGAAACCGGCAGACGGCATCGAACTGGACTGACGTCAGATTGAATGGTGGGACAGTCGGAGATCGAGTATGAATCATTCTCATTATTCAAACGCCGTTGCACCAACAGGAATGGAAATCGTGCCTGAAACAGCATCTCTATTGTGGATCATCATGATGTCTAATCACAAGATAGATTATATAAATATCAATATGTATAATTTTCGTCTTCATCGTATATAAGACTTTTAAAGATGTCCAAGGGAAGGGGAGTAACTCATTCCTTTACACGACGAGAAATAGACAGCTTTCAGATTTTGGTAAGCCGTCTTACAGTGGAGATATATATATTTAAAGGGGGACAACTCCTTACTTCAAACATAAGTCTTCTTTTAAGGCTCCTCATCACTGAAAAATCGCAGTAGTGTTTATGAACACATATGTTCATTCCTACGAAAAGGTGACGAAGAAGACAGCAGAAGACAACCTTAATTTGATCAAGGGAGATAACCAAACTACGTCCCACAAAGGACGAACATTGTAGTAGCATTAGGCGTATAGATGTGTGTTGTAACTGTAGTACTATGCAGTTGTGTAGTTATGCAAAGGCCATTAGACTTTAGTCTTCAAATAGCATCATTTGCATCCAATATGACATCATTCATAATGTGACGTCATTTAAAAATTTGTTGTAAGCTGCGTCATTTACAATTATGCCATCAGGAATATTGTGTGACATAATTCAGAAATCTTTGTGTTCGGCTGTACTTGACATACAATCAGGTTTATGTGAAGTTTTTCGTTAACATTTAACGTTATTTGGAAGCATTGTGATCAATATCGTTGATAATATCACCGACACCCTGTCAGCTGTGACGTGCTTACAGACCGAGGCGTGACTTACGTACCACCATGACATCATCTGGATAACCTGACGTCATGTATACTCGATGTAATGCCATTCCTTTCTCTTTGTGTTGCTAAAGAATCGTGTGACCTAATTTGAATGATATTTATTGATTCCATATGACGTAATCATGACAAATATTACGTCATATGGACGTTACATACTACAGATTAAAATAGTCTTAATTTTCACTGGGTAGTTTGAATTCAGACTTATTTCCTATCTTACAGATTCTTACAAAACACATCCCCATAATATACTTTGGTTTACCTTCAACTAATAAAAAAATGATATGTTTTAAGATATACTCTGTAATTATGCCATCAGGTATTCGTGCTATTACAAGAGATGTAATTCTCGAGAGTGACCTTAATATATATATATTCGGGGGTAGAATAAAAATTTAATTGCCCCCTAAATATATAAATTGATAACCAAAATATTTGTCATTTCCCTGGCTTCCGCAAAGAATACCTCTCATTTGTTACAATCTTTGATAAATCAGAAAAAATGAACAAATGAGGTAGAAACTAGCAAACAGTAAATAAATAAATAAATAAATAGATAAAGCAAAACAAAATTGTGCAGTACGCTTTTGTTTCTACTGAGGATGAACATTACCATACATAACAGAATACTGAAGGACCAGGATTTTTAAGACTGTGTAAATGATATCAAAATCAGATAGCATACCTCCTTTGAAAAGGCAGGGGTCATAGACTTCAGTGTGTCAGTTTCACATCACGAATCGCATTTCCTTCTTAGGTTCGGGGAAAGTGAGAAAATATTATTGTCACATAATTTTGTGATATTTTACAACATACTTCAGAACAAATGTTTCATTTTGTGAAATTTGTGCATCAGTATATCGAAAAATTACATTATGAAAAACATGGCATGGAATAAACATGATTTAAAGAAGCATGTTTGACCGTCGTTTTATTCTATATTCATATATTCAATTGTTTGATCTAATAACTTTCATCGAATTTTGAAAATATGTTCTTGATTTGTTTTTCCTCAAAAAATCCATGTTTTGAATATCATGGTTTTCTATATTTTTGTGTCACGACTTATTGAAATGTAACTTCAAATCAACTATAATCTATTTCTATTCGATGTTTTTTTGAAAAAATTCACAAGTTTTTTTAAAAGTAAAATGAAAAATCTTGTTTATGTAAGCAGAAAATATATACAGTGATCAGTATTGATTAAATGAGAATTAATTTGCATAACAGTCGGTAAGATGCTGTCAAAAAGTATGAATATTCAGTATTAGGATTTATGGTACATGGTAAATATTCATTATCTGTTTATTTGATAACTTGTGACAATTTTTGTCTGTAGAAATCCTAAGATCTGGATGGATGATGTTGGTGGACAAATAAAATGAAATAAAAACAGGATGTATATGTATGCTTGTAAATGGTGTTGTAATGTTTGGTGTTTCTATAGATGATTATGTGACTTCGATGATACAATATTGTAATACTTTGTAAATACATTGATAAACAATGTAAATATATGTTTGTAATTTAAATATTGTAAGAGAATAGTATGATTATATATATATATATATAAATGTATCTGTATATGAAAGTTCATGTTTATACACGTTTATATGGATAATAAGCGATTTCAGAGGAAAGGTGACGTCATGAACTATGACGTCATTTCAGGGGTCATTGTACGCCATGAATTAACATTCACATCTTGACATAATTTCAAGAATACATGGCGTGAATGAATTCGAGATAACAACAATTTTAAGTTATATCTGCATAACATATACTGATCTACTGATATATACAAATGAATGACATTATTCAGGTCAACTAATATAAACTGGTTACAAATCTTTAACTCAGTGGTCAGAATTTCCACATATGTATATTTCATCCTCTGTTCTAAAGTAGGATGTTATGTATATTCATACATATGTTGTATACACTTACATATATAGATACAAATGCATGAACATTTGTCAAATTTTGTACCTATGAAAATCATCTAAGAAACCGAATGATTGCGTTTTGTACAAACATTCTATCGTGTTTTGCAGTAAAAGATCAAGTTGGTCAGACAAATTACATCGCATATTAACATGTTCTTAAATACTGAGGATTGTTTAATGATATTTTACACATAATCTGAACAGCTGTTCTGAGTAACTGATGACATGGAGTTATATACGCCGTAATCGATTTCATCAGAAAGCTGACACCTGTTGTCAGTTTCCTTTACTATCAGATAACATTTCGTGCTAGAGAATGATAGGAATCTATTAATTAATTTATCAATTTAAATTTAAATTTGATTTTAAATTAAAATTCTAATTTAAAAAAGATTATCATTTCTTTTTAAAAAAATATATCTATTCTCATTGCACTAAGATATCGTCTTAAGTTTTATAATGATGATATAACTTTCTTAGTTTAATAATTTGGAGCAGTTTCCTAGTCACTAGCAATTTTTTTTATCTGAAGCGAAGGTTTAATAAGTTGGTTTCCATCAAATGTGTCTCATATATACAAATTTATTTCAGGTTTTGTCTTATTTGGTATATGAATCAGTTTTGTTGGCTATTCAGTAACAGTATAAAACGATAGAATACAGTCGTACACCAGCTATTCAAAATGGCGTCGTCTTCACGTCAAACTATCTGACGTGACCTACGCGCTTATACCATTTGATACCTTGTTACCATTTCGAACGCCGATCTATATTATATTTGGATCGGTTTGTTAAAATTCTTTTTCCCCTTTTAAAATGTACACGTAATGAAAAATGAGTAATATTCCGTTAAATATCGTATGCAGCAAATATTCCAACATTTTCGGGTAATGAATTATCATATTTAGCGTAAAACTGCTAAATATCCCCTATGTATATCTTTATTTCGGTTGAAATATTGTAACAAATTAAGAAAGTACATATAAACTAAAACAATAGCATAGATATACCGATATTTACATAATCATTAATCACATATGCTTTTTGTTATAAGTTAAACTTTTCACTTTTTTATTATGAAGTCCTCATTTTATTGGAAATTTCACCATGTTAACGATTGCCAGCATCACAATTTCTACAATGAAAGTTATTCTGTTATATGCCTAAACATTGATAACATACATCAAATGCTTGATAAATGTTTATGAAAAACCTACCTTGTTTATATCCAATCTCATCATTTTGAAATTAAATATATGAAAACAAATCTTTAGACAATACACTTCTTCCTGCGTTAGAATTAGATACACTAAACTAAATGTCAAATTATGAATTCCCTTGTATCATACAGACTTTCCATCTTTCATGGGCTCAAAGGTGATGATATCGAGAGAAAAATAAGGACATGAATTGTGTAAACATAATATTTGTATCTAATAGCTATTATATAAGTGTATCGGTGAGGGAACTAATGTGGACTATTCCCTTCGTGATTGATTGAAATAGATTAGTGGATAGCTGTATATTGTATTAGTGATTTCAGTGACCCTATATATATATATAAACAACTGTGAAGCGTGTTGCGTGTTGATTTATATAGATATGTATCAGTAGAATATATAAGTGTCATATTATAGAATTTTGTACATCACACGGAATAAAAAAAAATCGTCAAAAATACTTACCATTTTCTTTGTTTTCGATTTCTCGTGTGAGGATGTTTAATGATTTCAGTGGCAAATATTGTGTTTCCTTGTGCGATATCAAGTTGCTTTGAAATGTATTTGAAGCTCGTTGGTTCTGTTTTTTTTTTTTTTTACCTTGCTCTCAGTTTGGAAAGTGACATTACATACTTTGATTGAATAAAGCTAACATGGCGGATGTCGTCTATAAAGCAGAAGACGTTTGCCCTTCTGAAACACCTGGTCTTATTTTCCTTGTACTTGTTCAAGGGGCTCCGGACTATTCTACTTTGATTTCCGTACATTACATTGCCTTCGAGTGTGATCTTTGATGTTGTGTTTTATTGTCGTTTTTGTATATATATATATCACTGAAAATATATTGACAGGTAAAATATTCACTGTATTTTTTAACTTGTCACTGCATTCGCATCGATTCTACTTCTCTAATTGACCGTTCGGTGTTACGAGCTGATATCACTCCGCAAACCACGTTACACGATGACCAGCAGCTGCGGGCTATCTCTACAAACAGTTACTATTTTTTATGAA